ATGACATTATTGCACAAATATAAACTGAAGGAAATAAAAAAATTTTTAGAAAATATTCTCCTCTATTTTTTTTATAAACAGATGGGAATATCTCGATGTTCTCCTTTGTTTTTGAAAAACAGACAAGAATACGTTGATATTCATGTCTGTTTTCAAAAAACAGAGGAGAATAATCTTTATTCTTGTCTCATTTGAAAAACAGATGAGAAAAAACAAATGAGAAAAATAACTTTTTCTCTTCTATTTTTCAAAACAGACATAAATAGGGGAGGTAAAAAGTATATTTATTGTAGTGGTTGAAGAATCAGTGGTCATAGTGAAAAAGGTGACGTCGAAGCCATGATTAGAAATCAGAAATTTGCCAAGCTCAAGCGTTGGAATGAGGTAGCCCATTCCTGGGCTACAGAGCAAAGCAACGTTAGGGTTTCAAGCGGTTAAGACCATGTTGACGATGTTGGAGGAGAAGAAGAAGAAGAAGGTAGGAGAACTTGTATATGGAAAAAGAGACGAGAGACTCGAAACTCACTTGAATAATGCAGCACTGGACAAGTTTATTATATATGTATTTATATTGATATGTTATTATCTCCCGTTCTAATTATAAGACTTTGTTTGTAGTCTACAAACAAGGTCTTATAATTAGAACCAAAGATAGTACTATTTTTTTAATATATTCTTGAGTTGAAAATAAGACTAAAGTGTACATTTACTTATTTAGTCCTTTAACTTTATATAAGATTTTAATTTTGTCTCTTAACTTGAAAAAATATATTTTTAGTCTTTTAATCTCAAAATTGTTACTCTTAAATGATGATTTTTTTTGTAATAATTATGGTTATTTTTAATATTAAACTTAATATGTTAACATTTAGCAATGTTTTATCAGCATTTAAGAGTTCAATATCATTATTTTTTTATTAACAGTTTTAGGGTTAGAGGACTAAAAGCTTACGTTTTAAAGTTAATGGACCAAAATAAAACATTATGTCAAGTTAAAGGACTAAAATATACTTTAACCAAAAGACAAATAAACTATGGAATGGTGCCAAACTCAGAGAGTTTTATGGATTGCCAATTAATCACGTTTACTGCCTAAACTAGCCTAAAGCTTAATAAAGATGAGACTTATTCCTATATGAATTGGTCCAGACATTTTTATACTCAGCTTATGGGTGTCTACAATCAGTTAAGTTGTGGCCTAACCATATTAGTTATGACAATAAGTGACTAACCACAAATCTTAGCGGCGATAATTTTGAAAGCCTGGTTGTCACTAGAACTTACCTAAGATTTCTAAAATACTCCTCTAATCCTACTTATAAAATGTAGAAAGAATGTTCTTTTTGTCTTATTTATAAGTTACTTTATTAAATTTAATTTTAACATGAATGTATTATTTTATTTTCATTTATTATTGTGTAGATTCTTTTTTTTTACAAGTGTGTATATTAGGTAAGTACAAAATTGAAAAGTCATCAAATTTGAAGGCAGAGTGAACGAGATTTAATGTTTTTATTGGCTTTGATCAAATATATTAGAAGTAATTTATAAACAACATCAAAAGAATATTGATTAAGTCTTACTCTTTTAGTCATATTTATAAAGCACTTTCAGCATATTTTATACAGACTAAAAAAAACCTTAAATTGCATTAACTTTCTACTAAAATATAACAACTTTTAATTTTACCCTTATTTAATATATATATATATACATTTTAAAAAATAATTATCTACACTATGATAAATAGAGGACAAAATAGCATATTTATACTAAAAATTTAATAGAATGACTTATAAATATAACTAAGAAAAACCTTCTCTCTTTACCTTATAAATAGAAGTAGAGCAGTATTTAATTTTAACCATGCTCTCAATTTTATAGTAGTATCACATATTCTACGTGATGATGCATATACTATGAATTTCTATGTTGTTAAGGTTAAAATGTTTCGTTTAATTTTAAGTATGGCTTAAATAGGATTGCATATTCCACATGGTTGAAATGCACATGGTGATGATCACCTAATTAAATGTAAGTTTAGAATCATGTGCTGCTTGCATTCCTCTTTCATTTTAATTCTGTTCAATGTGAGCCAAACCTAACGTCTTTATCACTCCAAGGTCCACTACTCTACAAAACCTATCCTTTTTAGCTCTTACCCTCGCCTATCTTTACTACTCCCTCCCTCTCATTTTAATTTATTTATGAGCTTTGAATTTGGAAAAAAAGTGTATAGTTCATTTTATAAACTTCAATTTGAGTTAATCTCAACATTTAGTGTATTTTTTTAAATGTTGTCCTCGGTTGTTATTCTCTCAAAATTGAATATATATTTTTCATTATTATCCTTATTTATTATTATCTCTCATTTGCTATACTTCCTATTATCACATTTTTCCATACATTCATTTTCATTCATTTTCTCATTTATTGTAAGAACATATTTGAATATAAAAGTATATTTCTTATTTGTTTATTGGTTTTAACTGATTTTTAATTATTTACAAATTAATTATTTAAAGATTATAATGAGAATTTGATTTGAAGGGAGCATAAGTCATATTTAAGCGTCTCACCATAGCCAATGAAATGTAGTTGACCCATTAACTTTGTTTAAAAATAATTTTTTTTTCTAAATCTACCTCTCCTTAATTAAGAACATAGAGATTCACTACATCAATTTTTAAGCACTATCCTAATAAATTGTACTCCTTTGATTTGGCCTATTTTGTAGAACAGTTAGGTCTCATATTAATAACCGAAGGAGTAATAAGGATAACATTTTAAAAAAAAAGGTTAATTAACGACACACTTAGTGACCAATATATCGAACCCTCAATTTCTTTTAGAAAGCGTTTCATATAAAATAACAAAGGGAGTTCGTTTATAGCTTATATATGATTATGTAAAGAAATATTCTATATAGTTAGAGTCTATTGAATTTTTAGAGAAAATATATGAGCGCATTTGTTACTATACATTATTGACTCAAAACCTTAAAGTATTAAGTTAATAGATCTTTTTTTGTTTACTTAATCTTCTGTTATTCTAATTATATTTAATGTAAGACTAATTACGTAGTACTTTTCTTGTTTTAAAGTCAACTAAAGATAAATCTAGCTAGAATATTACTTGTGATTTTTTTTTAATTTTTTGTTGGATTTTGAGATAATGAGGGTAGAGCTCCTCGTCATACGGAACTTCTTTGCATTGTTTTAATTTCAGAAGCCATGCGGTACCTAGCTCCATTTTTCAAACAAATGAAATTAGGTTTTCTAATCAAGTGGCTAGAAATATTATTATTAGAAGAACTGTCTTAGAAAATAAATAAATAAATATAAAAGATGAAGTTGATTGAGGTTTTATATTTAAGATCAAAATAAAAGTCAAATGAAATATTATATTAAGGACCAAAGTTAGTAACTTCTTTCCCTTTTTTGAGAACAAAAATTGAGACGTTTTAGGGAAAACGATGAAACTGTGGGGAAGAACTCAAGGACACCAAAACAGATCCGTCCCTGCAAATGATAATGAGCTTGTTATACGACGATTTCAAAATCTGTGAAAGTCAAATATATAAACGGCAATTACAATAATTAATTTTTTAATGTTTAACAATTTAAATTATTATTTTATGAATAATGAATTTGAAAAATTAAATTACGCTCCCCAGTCTAAGATTTTGGCTGTCACTGCAATTATCATCCGCAAATGATAAAGAGATCACAATTATATTGCCCAGAACGTTTGATGATTTGATAAAATGAAACCACAATAAGAATTGATAAAGAGCTAGATTCATTTGATTCCATACTCATCAGATTTAATACCATGTTTTGTTCTCGGCATGAAGTGTCTAAATTTATATACGCATCCGGTTCTTAATATAGGACCTATTTATTGAATTGATTTTGGTCCTATATATAAAACCTATTTCTTATATTTATTAATTTTTTTAAAATTATCCCTATAGATACTTTCTCAATCATAATCAAGTAGAAGAGGGAGGGAAGATATTAAGGAAATGATTATGGTGTTTTAGGCATATTTTTTATAATCAACTAACTTACCTAATTTAATCAAATTAGTTAAATGGGTCTTATATTAAGGACTAGAGGAGGATAAATTTAGACATATCCAATTGTTTTTTTTTAAAAAAATTTTGTTTTTTTCTGTCCAAAAAATTTAGTTTTTCCCCCCCTGAATTTGGGCATTTATTCTAGGGAAGATTGGGGATAAATCCCCCATTGAAAATTTAATTGACTAATGGGACTTAAGGATTTTGTGCAACTTAACTTCTTTCATGTGCAACTTATCTTTCCTTGTGTGCAATGTATCTTCTCTTATGTGCAATGATCTTTTTTTGTGCCATGTGCAACTTAATTTCTTTTTGTGCAAATGAAATTTTCTTATGTGCAAGTCATCTTCCCTATATGCAAACTATATAACCAAATATATTTTGTGCAAACTATCTTCCCGTTGTGCAACTTATCATCTTTTGTATGCAATTAATCTTTCCTTGTACAATCAATCATCCTAGGTTTTATTTGCCAATTAAATTTTCAATGAGAGATTTATCCCTAATTTTCCCTTTACTCTAGGGTAACTGTGCAAATTTACCTCCAATATTATTTTTTTATGTGCATCCAACACTCTGATTTTTTTTAGTGATAGAACTTTATCTATAATCTTATTTTTCTTTTTTGTGCACCAAGCATAGTATTCCGAATCTTTAAGATACTGAATGTAACTAAAAAAATAACATCAACATCAAAGTGTTCGGGAAGAAATATGATCAAGGTAAATTTTACACATGTACCATTTATTTTATTCTAACAAGAAGTATATAATGCAAAACGAAAATAACTAGACATGAATATTTCTCATGTATTGCATAATATATAAGGATTAACTTTGAAATTAAAATGACTTCGATCGGCAAACTTTATTATATATTAATGGATTTATATTGACACATCATCATATATGATTGAAATTCATATCCACTGGAGATTTTTGGCCAATTGATGAAAAGAGTTAAAAGATGATCCACCCTCCGACAAAGCCATTTTTGCACTATGTTTAAGTTCTTTGACCCTTTCTTTGATGCACACACCTTCTTCCACCATCACTCTCCTTATCAGCCTATGTATTTCGTTCCTCTCCACCACCTCTGCTTTGTTCCCACCGTTCTTCACCCTCACTGCCACCCCTAGCTCCTCCGTCAGCGCTGCCGCGTTCATCCTCTGCTCTGCATACAACGGCCACGCTATCATCGGCACACCGTTGGTGATCGCTTCAAGCGTGGAGTTCCAGCCACAATGCGTCATGAATGCCCCGACCGAAGAATGGTCTAGAATCTCAGACTGTGGGGCCCACATGGGGACCACAAGTCCAAGCTCGTGGGTCTTATTCAAGAATTTCTCTAGCAAGCTGTCTGTGCTTTTACCGTTCTCTAGCTTGAAGAATGAACCGTGATTCGTAGCGGTTTTGTCTCCATGGGGCGGTCGAACCACCCAAATGAATCTATGTTGACTTAACTCCAAACCGTAAGCTATTTCTTCCATTTGTGCCTCCGACATGGTCCCCCCACTTCCAAATGACACAAAAATAACCGACTCGGCTGGTTGCTGATCTAGCCAACTCAAAACTTGATGATGATCCATCTTAGTCCGGTTCGGATCCGCGCCTCTCACTAACGGTCCAACCGGATAAATCTTTCCCTTAATAATCCCGCTTCTTAAATTTTGAACCACGCTAGTCTCAAGGTCTTCCCATGTATTAACCAAAATTCCATCAGCATTTCTTATGTTTGATCCCATTTGTAAGAACATCTCGTGCTCCATTGGCACTTCATCTTTAAGCAATAGCGGTTCCAAGGTGTCTTCAAACCGAACAGGTTTACAACCCGGAATGGGAAGCGGTTCATGGAGTTTCACATGCCTGTCTAATAGTTCCTTCTCCATAAATGGAACATGCACAGCAAGAGCAAGAACCCATGCACTGGAAGTGAAAAACACGTAGGTAAGCATGTGGAGGTCACGTGCCATGGCGAAAGCGTCGGTGCCGAACAAATCAACGATGAGAGCTGTTGGACGAAGCTTCATTGAGAGAATAGCAGAGCGAAGAAGTTGGAGTGATTCCTCCATTGTTATCTTGATTCGAGCTCCGAACTGTGATGAGTTTAGTGGCTTGAGTTTGCTGGAAACATCTACAGGTGGGAGTACGACGATGTTTAGGGCGGCTGTGGTTTTAGGGTTTGATGAAGTTTGTTGGATTATCTGTGAATGTGTGGTTGAAGAATCAGTGGTCACAATGAAAACGGTGACGTCGAAGCCATGATTAGACATCAGACATTTGCCAAGCTCAAGCATTGGAATGAGGTGGCCCATTCCTGGGCTACAGAGCAAAGCAACGCTAGGGTTTCCAACGGTTAAGACCATGTTGATGATGTTGGCCGGAGAAGAAGAAGGTAGAAGAACTTGTATATGGAAGAAGAGATGACCGGAGACTCGAAATTCACTTGTATAGTTTTCGCTTGCTTGGCTTTGCTTCAAATAATCACTGGTATTTATGGGCTGAGAGAGAATACCTGTTGGGAGTTCAGTTTAATTGTGAAAAGGGAATTAAAAGGGAAAACACCCTATGGAAGGATGATGGATTATAACATTTATTTCTTATAGGAAAATGAATTATAACATTTTAGGTAGATATTGATATAAAAGGTTAAAAAAAAAAAGAATCTAAAAGACGCGACTAGCTCTGTATACACAGTTATTAATTAACACGTTAATTGATTTAATATATTTTGGCCAAAAAATTGCTTTAGTATATAGACCTAGAAATTAAGCCAGAGGGACGTGACTCAATATATATTTGTCAAGAATGAATATCACTCGAAAAAGTCTTTTTTGTTTTTGTCTTTTTTAGGAGTCAACGGCATGTGAATTATAATTAATATTCTAGGTACAATGAATCTCGTTAATTCCCAAAAATAACTATATATATATATATATATATATATATTCTTGTCACAGGCTATGACCTACTAATAAGGAATTCATGAGATGGTTGATTTGGGTAGAAAGAGCATAAATTCAATTTGATTGAGGCTCAACCAACAAAAAAAAAAGTTAATTAATTACCTGGACACACACACACGTGTATAATATATATATATATATATATATAGTCTAACTTTTATTTTTAATATAAAAGCTCGTTTAAGATTTAGTTTAGTCTTAAATATTACTCCTAATTTGGTCCTATTTATAAGGTATTTTCAACATATTTCACACAGACAAAGAAAAACCTTAAAATTAATCAACTATTCATTAAAATATAATGATTTTGCAACTTTACTCATATTTAATACATACAACTTTAAAAAAGATAACTACTTATATTATAATAAATAAAGGATAAAATAGTACATTCACAATGAAATTTTAATGAAGTGACTTATAAATAGGACAAAAAAAAGTCTATCTCTGCCCCATAAATAGGATCAGAGGAGTATATCTCAATCCACTTTGTCTCTAATATTTATCTATTTTATCTTCAAATAATTCATATGATTAATATGGATATTTTAGAAAAGATAACATCTATTTATTATAAAATAACTAACTCAACTTATTTACTTAATTTTAAAAAATTAATTATGTAACTTTTATGTTAAAAACTGATGGTATGATACACACACACACACACACATATGGAATGGTAAAACAATGATTACATACATCGAATTTATACACTAATCACTTCAAGAGAGGTGCATGAATTGTCTATTTTTAGGTACATGTCAACCTGAGAAATCTCGAAAAGACATGACTCAAACATTGAGTTATACATAATCAATCCAATTAAGGCACATGAATATATATATATATATATATTATATCATATTTACTAAGGTTCATTGTATATATTAATCTGGAAAGACATGACTTAATGTGCATGTACCACATAATTAAATTAAACTTATGCATGTATCAAGCAAGCAATAGCCAATCAAGCCGAAATATTCATAAAAGTCATAAATAAAATACTACGTATTTTTTTAAAAACTTTATATAATACAAAAAAAATCTTGCATAACTTTAAGTATGTTCATCTAAACGTGACTCTATATAAATATATGATATACATATACACACACACACACACACACATATCAATCTGATCAAGGTACATCAAATTATGGCATATTATAAATAGATACATATATTGATTTAGAAAAACATAACTCAATACGCGCCTCTCAACTATAGTAACCGTTATCATTGTCCATATATGCCCGTGGGCTATCTGATCCTAAAGGCAGGAAATTGATAAATAATTTATAAATATTAAAAAAATAGTTAATTAAATTGCTTATTTATAAAAAAAAGTATGCCTTAGTTTCTTTTAGGTCCTCTTTTAAGTATTTGCATGGAACTGCACTATTGTGGAATTCACTTTTAGTAGGCGCGATCAAATAAGAATAGTTGAAAAATTATATATTATAAAAATAAAGTGACTGACATCTTATATTAGAATTGAAGAAGAACTTGTACATTTAGGACTATTTATAACAAATTTGATAGTACGCATACTAAGTTTGATGCACGAAATAACCTAACAAAATTACTTGTTGGAAATTTTAATTGTTAAATAATGTTAATAACAAGGACGGGCTCAGCTCTAGTTTTATATTTATCTGTTAAAAAACGCAGCTTTTTTTCCTTGAAAGTTAAAGTCTTGAATTTTCTTGGTGGCCAAATACTTGCAGTTGCCCATTCTAAAATTTGTTATTTGTCATTATTAATATTTTTTTAAAATAATCAATATTCTTATATACTATGAATAAACATAATCTATATTGAGGTCTTTAAGAAGATTTTAATATTTACTCATAATTTGTAATTATGACTGATGTGGTTGTTGTTAGGCAATAGGCAAGTTGACACAAAATATAAACTTAAAAAGAATTTTTTTAAATAAAATAATTGAATAAAATTAATTTTTTATTAACATAATAACAATTTATTATACTTATAATTACCTCCTTGCATCTATAGATAATACATAATCTGGTTGGTTTTGATTTTATTTAGATCTTAGAAAAGTTAATCTAAGTGTATGTTAACTTTTATATAAAAAAATGCAGGTGTATGTTAAGTGAAAGTAACAATATTAGCTACTAATACCTTTTCTCCTCTGTTGAAAAATTATAAGTATACGAATCAATATCTATAATTAAGAAAACTGAAAGAATGCAATAAAAAGAAAAAAATCTGTGAGAACCCAATTAGAAAATTAGATAAAATGCGGATCAATTTTCCCTAATTATATGTACAACGTTGGAATAAATTTTGATTAAAAAAAACGTTGGAATAAATTGAAGACAAGGAATAAAGTTGGAACTTGAATGGTAATAAGAAGCTAAGAATATCTAGTGCAAATTAAGCTACATTAGAATTCTTTCAAAACTAAACAACTAAAAGCATATTTAGAGCACTTGGGAGAAGAAATGTTGTATGGTTTTTTTTAAAAAAAATAATCTAATTTTTAAAAAAATAATCTAATAATCTATTTTTTTAAATAATCTAATTATCAATAAAAATATTATAAATTTAGCAAAGTGGAATTATAAAAATATTTTTCATTGTCAATTTTGCTTACTAAAGAGATTTTTATGTGGAATTTTCTTCTTATAATTTTTTTCCTCCCTTCCTGTTATGGATTATTAAGATAAACAGAAAAAACAAAAGGCACCACTCGTTAATAGATGATGGCAATATTTTCAAATTCTGAGGCCCACTTTGCATCTGCGTGTCCCTCCTCTTCCAAACAATCCCGTTAGCCCTGAAAGTGAAGCCTCCGTTCATACATGCTGAAGTAAGAAGTGGAAGAAGAAGCTGCCCGTTTGAAATGCTAAGCAGAGCAGGGCGATTACTCCTTCCCAACCATGTCGTTTCCTTCGGAGAATATGAACCCTAACTCGCCGGAGCCCGACAAGGTACCCACCTGGTCCGATTTCTGGCTCAACGGCAAGGCAAATCCTCTCAAGGATATGGTTCTCGCCATGCAGCTTCACTCCCTTTCTTCCCCCAAAGACCCCAAATCCAAAAAATTTATCCCTAGTTTTGCTAAAATAGACCGGACCCTTCTCTTATCTGATGAGCTTCTTCTCAAAATCCTCTCCAAGCTTCCCGATTCACAGAGGAAGTCCAACTCTCTTGTTTGCAAGCGCTGGTTGAATCTCCAGGGAAGGCTTGTACGGTCACTCAAAGTTTTAGACTGGAACTTCGTCTTGTCTGGTAGGCTGATACATAGATTTCCCAATTTAAACCACGTAGATTTGGTTAATGGGTCTCTGATTTCGCCTCGAAATTCGGGCATCTTTCTGAGTCACCGAATTGTTTCTGTGCATATTGATTCTGGGTTTCCTGCTAATTGGTGTATCGGTGAGGAAAATATGCTCCCTGTTGAAGTTATTGATGCTGGAATGAAAGCCCTTGCTTCTGGGTGCCCCAATCTGAGGCGGCTAAGAATTATTGGTGCCAGTGAAATGGGTTTATTGTATGTGGCTGAGGAGTGTCCCACATTGCAAGAGTTGGAGCTGCAAAGATGCAACGACAATGTGTTGCGTGGGATTGCGGCGTTTGAGAACCTGCAAATCTTGAAATTGGTTGGAAATGTTGATGGATTCTACGGCTCTGTGGTTTCAGATATTGGATTGACAATCTTAGCTCAAGGTTGTAAGAGGCTGGTGAAGCTTGAGCTTAGTGGGTGTGAAGGCAGCTTTGATGGGATTAAAGCCATTGGCAAGTGCTGCCAAATGTTAGAGGAATTGACTCTTTGTGACCATAGGATGGATGATGGGTGGTTAGCAGCACTCTCATATTGTGAGAATTTGAAGACTTTGAGGTTCCTGTCGTGTAAGAAAATTGATTCTAATCCAGGACTAGAGGAGTATTTGGGTTCTTGTCCAGCTCTTGAACGGTTGCATTTGCAGAAGTGCCAATTACGAGACAAAAAGAGTATGAGAGCAATATTTTCCGTATGCAGGGCTACAAGGGAGATTATTCTCCAGGACTGCTGGGGATTGGATAATAACATGCTCAGTTTTGCAAACATTTGCAGGTAATGTTCTGTTGTCTTGCATGTTTTGCATTTAGACCTGAGAAATCCTTAGAATTTTACTGTTCTATGTGCCCTGTTTGACAACCTGTGAATATGAAATTTTTGCATTCACATGCGTATTTTTGCATTATAATATCATCATTGATACTCCTAGCCCAAGAAATCTTGTATTATATGAAGTGGAATTAGAACCAATGTGGTCCAGGTGCTGGGGTGATTCCGTGAGCTTGTGAAGTATTGCCTATACAACTTCATTGTGTGTCAAGTAACAGACTTCAAAATTATGGACTTGCGAAGTGAGAGTATTTTGTTGTTAACTGGAAAGCTGTACAGGTGCTGTAATTGTTATTGCTCTTATGCAGGCGAGTAAAGTTCTTGCACCTGGAAGGATGCTCATTGCTAACAACTGAAGGTCTAGAGTCTGTAATTCAATCCTGGTCGGAGCTTCAGAGCCTGAGAGTAGTCTCATGCAAGAATATAAAGGAAAGTGAAATCTCTCCTGCGCTTGCAACCCTATTTACCAACCTCGTAGAGCTGAGATGGAGGCCAGATACCAAGTCTCTTCTTCCCTCAAATCTTGTGGGGACAGGTATGGGTAAGAGGGGGAGTAGATTTTTCAAGAGGGCATGATAGGAACTGAATTTAGGGAGAGGATTCTCTTCAGGTTCAAGACCATTCGCAGGGAAAAGAGGAAGAGACGAGGGGTTTTGGACGATACCCCTCTTTCCTTTTCTTTTCACGTGTACTCTTTAAGTCATTTTGGAGAGAAATTAAGCCCCTGAATTTACTTTGATATTCTCAGTTTGCGAGTCCCTTCAACAGTTAGACAGTTCAACTGGAGAGAGATAGAGTGGATGGTGAGATTCATACACCAGGTATGGTCTTTCTCACACAAAAGACTGCTCAACTAGTAGCCCTGGACTTAGGAACAAAGGATTCTCACTACAATATGCAGTAATGTATGTAGTTACTGTTATTTTAGATGTTTAGATGGAAGAAGACTGATCTTTGTTTTCTTCCTTTAGTGAAAAGGCAGCAGTCCCAACCCAGTGATGTAATCATGTGTAAGCTGAATGCATTTTACTAGTGCTCTCTAAAGTAGAAATTGGCCATGGGAGAACGTTCTGTTAATTAAAGTACCAAAATGCTACCGTTGTGTTTGTGGACCCACGGCACTCGAGGTCGCGTTGAACTTTACGTCACTTAAATTTAAAATTAAAGTAGTAGATTGAGGTACCCTATAAAGTTGCCTTTCACATTTATATATTGAGTCACTCATCATAAAAGATGCAAGCGATTAACGTATAATTAGTCAGAGTTTGTTTGTGTATTTTTTTTTTTTTGGTTTAGTGCAATTTATTAAACATAATGCATGAACACAAATATGTCAACATTAAACTAGAGTCTGGAATCTTAACTAAATGTAGTAGGTAATGCTGCCATTAAGATGATTTGTCATTAACTTATGTATATATTTATTTGGTAATAGATAATGCTGCTCGTTAAATTTTTCTTATGTGTAATATATGTATTGATATTTGGATTACTTGCTTTATATATTGTGATGATTTGACTGGTAAGGCAATATTCTTACTATATTAAGCAAGCTCACATACCATACAGTATACAGAGATCATTTCTAATAGTTAGATAGTTTATTGGAAAGAGAAAAGGTGAGAAGTAAAAATTATGTGATCAGTTTATTTATTGCTTCATTTTATTTTTATTTTTATTTTTATTTTTCCTTTTCTTTTTTTTTTTTTTGGCCAGCCTTTTCATTAACTTGTTGAAACAATGAGATTGCCTATGAAATTATCTCTTTCAAAATAATTATAGCTTTTAAAGTTCTAATGAAGTATTAATTAGTGTTTCATTTTATTTGTACATTATAAAAATAATGGTAGATGGAGTTTTTTTCACCTTTGTGAGTATCCCGCCCAGACAGCTGACTAATCTAGTTTGAATACTGCGGAGGCTCATATAGAAGGTGACCCTACCAAACCAGCAGATCCATTCATGATGCCATGATTTGAACTTTGGATGTTGTTTGAGAAACCTAAGCCCATGATTTGAACTTTGGACGTTGTTCAAGAAACCTAACGCCTCATCATGCTTGACCAACTGAACATTGGTTAATGATAGATGAAGTTGAAAGTATTAACTAAAAAATAACTCATTGATATATATTTTATCACATATCATCAATTTTATTATACTACTTCTTGTCCGTTTATAGACTATAAACGGATCTTATAATTAAGTCCAGAGATAATATAATCTAAACAATTTAATAAATGTTTAATTTACATGCATAACCTTGTGACCTGGAGTTAGACTTGCTAAAGTAAATCCTTACTTGTTGCCTTAGAGCTAAAGAGTTGATTCCATAAAGCAAAGAAGCAACTTGGACCCATTTTCTCCTCACCTGATAATATAATCTGCTTGTTTTCTCATTTCAAAATTTTTTTAAAAATGTTTTTATATTTAATAGGGTAATATCGGACATAAATGATGTTGGTGATACTACTTCTGCCCCTTAATATAAGTATTCATTTGATACTCAATTTAATTCTAAATATAAGATCCCACTTCATTTTGTCTCTCATATATATCCTCCTTTTTTAATTAGTTTTGTAGTAGTTGCACATATTAAATGTTACTCCCTCCGTTTCTTATTATAAGAGACAAATAACCAAATTACGTTAATCAAAAAAATAGTTAAAATTAGTTAAGAACAGTCAATGTGTAAAAAGTATAATTCTTTTCCCAAAAATGCCCTCATTAATAAGAAGAGAGAGTATGAGAAAGAACAATTAAATTATTAAAAGAAAGAGAAGTGGGAGGGAGAGAGTGTGTGAGTTGGAGAAAATAAATATGGGTAAAATAGGAAATCAACACGAAAAAGTAGAGACAACTTTTAAGTGTCTCTTATATATAGAAACATGCTATAAGTATCAAATATCTCTTATAATAAGAAACGGAGGGAGTATATTAAATAGTCGTTCTAACTAATATTTCCTCCAGTCTTTAATATAAGAGCTGATTAATTAATTTTAATAGATTGAGAAAACTAGTTGAATTAGTTATTTGTAATGAATAAATGTTATATTTCCTAAAAGATCATTGCTAATCAAGCGTATTGGTTAGAACTATTATTATTACAAGACTATCTGAAAAAAAAATAGATAAATATAAGAGACAAAGTGAATTGAGATTTTATATTTTTGACCAAAATAAAAGTTAAATGAGCTCTTATATTAAGAACGGGATGTAGTACATATAATTAGCAAAGACACTGTAGGGAATATAACATCTAATTATTATAAATAACCAACTTAAACTTTCTTAATTTATTCAAATTAGTTAACTAGCTCTTATATTAAGGACCAGAAGCAGCATAATGTATATATTGAGAGATGCTCATATTTAGTGCTCTATAGTGTCTCGAATAGAATTACCTTCATCACAAATATATCTGTACGTACCTGGAAAAAAAAATGATGTCTTAAAATTGTAAAAGAAAATTATTCCAGATCAACCTAATCCAATAATTGGGCTTATACTTTTGTTGGGCCAGCATAAGAAGGTTTGGTCCAATATCAGCTTGCCCCAACTTAACCCAAAATGTAACCCAGTATTAAAAAAATAAAAAAGGCCGAGCCACATAAACCCTAGCTGGTCATTTTGAGCATCTCCTTCGCCTCCTCCTTCAGTCTCCATATTTTTGTGACAACCAAAGGAGACTGTAGTGTGTGGGAGAGAGAAAATGGTGTCAGGCTCCGGCGTATGCGCGAAGCGCGTGGTTGTAGACGCGCGCCACCACATGCTAGGTCGGCTCGCTTCTATCGTCGCCAAGGAGCTGCTCAACGGCCAGAAGGTGGTGGTGGTGCGGTGCGAGGAGATCTGCATCTCCGGTGGCTTGGTCCGTCAGAAGATGAAGTACATGCGATTCCTCCGTAAGCGGATGAATACTAAGCCTTCTCATGGTCCTATCCACTTTCGTGCCCCTTCCAAGATTTTCTGGCGCACCGTTCGCGGGTTAGTTTCATTTAGCATTTTGGTACACAGTTCTCTTAAATAGATCATAACTAGCTAATATACTCATGGTTCTGATAAAATGACAATTACAGTCCAATCAAACTACCTTCAGTTTCTTGACTCATGCTTTCCCTTATAGTGGATCATTCTCTTGTCATTAGAACGCTACATTATTTGCAGCTATTTAACTAAGATTGTTAAATGAATTTTCAATTTTCATTTAGATTGAATTAATTGTTTATTACCACGCTTGATAGTTTCGTGCCAGTAAGTAGTAATGCAGCTCATCATGTTATTGACAGAAATGAAAGATACCATTCCCCCAACTTTTTGTTTACAATGAGAAAACTGGTGCATAATTGTTCGCATAACAATAATTTTATAACATAACATTGTTATATTTTTCCCATGCATGTCTGTTACTGATGCTCGTAAAGAATCTATTTGCACCTTGCATCTTCTATTAGGGCTGAACTCCTGGCCTTTAAAATAAACAATATTATGATCCTATTTTTTCCCCCATTGCCTTTGCTTTTTTACAACCCATGTCCTTGCATAGAAGGAGATAGTCATGCTTGTTATTTTCTGCATATTGTATATTTCTTTATGTTTTGGTTTTATTGTTATGAGATGTTATGTTTTCTCAATTTTAGAATGATACCACATAAGACAAAGCGTGGGGCAGATGCTCTTGCAAGATTGAAGGTCTATGAAGGCATACCTCCCCCATATGACAAAATGAAGAGGATGGTTGTCCCTGATGCCCTAAAGTAAAGTCTTTGTTCCTGAGTTTTGTTTTTAATGTTTCAGTTGTGCCGAATTTTATTTGTTGTCCCTTAAAATGTCTTTGTGAGTTTGTCTAATAAAATTTCAACAAATTTGATTAAATCAGGGTGTTGAGGCTTCAGAAAGGACACAAGTACTGCCTGGTGGGTAAATTGTCTTCCGAAGTTGGATGGAACTATTATGATACCATCAGGGTAAGCTTCCACTCTCTAACCTTGTTCTTGGATGGTATTAGATTGAAAACGGAGAGGATAATGAGGGGGATAAATCCAAGGCTCGTTGAATAGCCTGGCCATGGTTCATTTACTTAAATATTACTGACAAGGAGAGGAAGAAACCAGGCTAGGCTACTGCTGTACAAATACACATGGCTGTGATAGAAGCATCTTTGCGTAAAAGTGCTAATTACATGTTTAAGACCTTAATTCTATGTTCTTCTGTTTTTTCTTCATTCAGGAATTGGAGAAGAAGAGAAAAGAGAGAGCACAATTGGTTTATGAGAAGAAGAAGCAGATTAATAAATTAAGGTTGAAGGCTGAGAAAATTGCTGAGGACAAGCTTGGTTCCCAACTGGAGATCCTAGCTCCCGTTAAGTATTGATTTTTGATGATGTTTGATTAGCATTTAATGTTTGCAAATTTCGAGTATACAAGATCGTGACACGATTTGTTATGTTAATTGCATTCATAGACCCTTAGTATGATAATGTTGGAAATTGCCATAATTTATTTGTATGGCGTGGATTGATTTCTACCTCAGTTATCATATTTGTGCCATTTATCTTTGAAATGAGCTGCATTTGGGCATCTCTAACCAAAGAGGGGAAAGGAACATTGGAAATCATAGTGGGCATTGGATGCGAAGTCAGCGAAGTGAGTTTGGGTTTTGTTTGGGAAACACCAAACCCCCATATCACTTAAAACAAGTGCTTTCAGGCAATCGTAAACAAAACTTTCACAATATTTGCACGGCACATTGCTTAAAATAAGCTAATTTAAAATCACCTTTTTGTTTTTTTAACACCTATGGCATGATTTGGCCCAAAATCAGTTTTGAATCGGGACAGCCTGAGAGAAAACTCTCACATGCTTTGTCCCACCCGAAATCACTTGAACGTATTTGTTTTAACTTATGGCATGGTTTGGCCCAAAACCAGTTTTAGTCGGGTCAAGCAGACTATTAACGAATGGGGTTTTTGTTTTTTTGACCTAAAGGGAAGTGTTTATATATATATATATATATATATATATTTTCTATTGGGGGCAATTCAAATAGTGGGTTGAGGTATTAAATGTACT